AGAGTATCAGTAAACACTGCAGTGTTGTAGACAGTTATTTGTTCCCAGGTATTGCAATGTATTCTAGAAACTCTTTGGGTAAAATCCTGACCCCGCCTATAAGAACTGGGCCCAAGGGGATTTTGGTCTACTGTCATTTCCACATCACCATTGGAAACTTAGAGTAGGGGCTTTGGGAGGACCATATGCAGGTAGACTGTAGGCAATACCACCCAGCAGGGCCTGTGTGGTGGCCCTTCACACCCTAGTGATTGGCTGATGCTAGTCTTTAGACCAGGAAGCCATTATGGGCAGCTGCCTGAGCAACAATGCAGACTGCTCCAGAATCTGCTCGCTGTAGACCCTAGACTCTGGCTTCTGACCCTGGTTTGTCCTTGACTCTGCTAGCTGTCTGCAACTTGGTGCCTGACCCTGACTTCTTGGCATTCTGAGCCGGCTCACTCCCAAGCCTGCTACTCATCTCCTGATCATCGTTTAGCAGCTGATTGGTACAAACAGGCTGCCCCTGGCCAGGCCTAACACCATGAAAGTACAGCTGTGTGAATAACAGATTGTTCAGTTCAATGGCCATACCAAAACATCTAACTTTAAAAACAAAATTTGTTTCAGATTGAAAAAAATGTATTACATTTTCAAGATTTTTTAAAAAACTCTTTTTAGCATAAACTTGAAGTGTATTTTGACACGAAAAGTTTTTTGAACATTTTCTATTTGAAACAAACATTTTGATTTTTTTTTTACTTGTGGAGGGAGTTAGAGCGGATGGAGGTTTAAACCAAAGCAATTCTGCAAATTCAACCCAAATTTGTGATACCTCTTTCATAGAAGCTAACTAATAGTGAGGCAAATCAGAAACAAATACAAGAAAACATTTCCTTACACAGCCCACAGCATTCACTGGCCTTGAAAGTCACAGTCAAGTATTGTGGCTGGATTATTTAAAAAAGGCTGGATTTTGCCACCAGTGAGAGCAGTTATATTTTTTGCATGATAAGTTAAACCTCGTGCTGCCAGATGCAAGCTGCTAGCATACTGAAGTCAGGAAGGATTTCCTCCTTTTTTGCATAGCACTGCACTGCACAGCTGGTTATGTACATCAGAAAAGATTTTGAGCTTTCTTTGAAGCAATTAAGAGAAAGGATGCTAAACTCAATGTGCTAGTTTGCAAATCCTATAGGCCAGATCACACCCCTATAACTCTGCTAGTGAAAGAGTTCTCCAGGCAATTTCCACTTCTCTATTGAAGTAGGATTCAGGTGTCTCTTTGACACTGTCTTCTTGCCTCCTTCCTAATGGACATTACAGAGGACTCGCTATTCCTGATCCCAGAGAAAGAGCAGTTTCACACAATATAATTGCTGAATGTAGCTCATTGGAACACCTAGGCACAATGAGATGAGTTAAAGGCACATGGCAGCCTTTAATTAAGATGTGACATTGATAAAAAAAAGGTGTAGCCATTATTTGACCTCACTTGTGGTTTGTTCTTAAAATTGTTCAAGAGACGAAATAACCAAACTTTAGCTATATTTATTAGCTAAAAACAAAGCAGTACAACGTGAAAAGGAGATATACATACCTTGAAAAGGAGATATACAGGAAGCAATTTTATCTCACAGCATGATTTAGCTACACAGAAGGTGTACTTCAGTGATACGCATTTCAGCTAGTAGTATTTATAGTATGATTTTTACAAGTTACAGAACTCTTTACATTTCACTAAAATCCAACCCACCAGTTCTTTAACTTCTTGTTTAGTGCTCTGTGGGTTTTCTTATGAAGTTCCCAAAAAGAGATTCCAAACCAGCTGGGTGTAGAGGTACAGTCTAACCTGTGCTAGACACACCTCTCATGTAACTTGGTTTCGATAGGCCTCCTATTTTCTAATGACAACACTGACTTCAGCTTTGCAAATGTTGTGGGCTACTTGACGTGGGTGAACAAAGGTGTGGAGAGTGCATAACATGTTCCATTAACATAACTTCCCAAGACATATCTCTAATGAATATTATACTAATATCATGTACATAATACCCATTAATGTGGTGCATACAACACTTTCCATGTATGTATTGGCTAACCGATACGTAACAGTGGACTGGATTGAAACCATAAGAGAACCACCTGCCATTTACACATGAATGCACAGCAACGAAAATGTAGTTATAAAGCAATGGCTTCCTCTTTGCTGTGACATAAAACGGAGGGCCAGATTAGATTAAAATGTATGAAAAGCCATGGGAGGAGACTTTTTACTTGAAAAGCTTAATGAAGAATCCATTATGGAGGTTACCCCAAATTGTCCCATTAAGGGAGAGGTAGGAAGGGGTGGGATGTTCCTCCACACACATAAGAAAGCCACTTTTAGACCTGATAGATCCCAAAGGACCCACACGGAGATCCTATACCTGCATAGTGTCTCTGGCCCCCATAACACATTCCCCCCCAGTACCAGTGGGGTTGCACTGTCAGGAAACCCTCTAGTATCAGCTGCCCACTGTCTCCTGGTTGGACATAGGGAATCTGCTGAAAGACACATACTGCTTGTGGCTGTGTGGGGAACAATGTGTATCACACCCAGCCTCAACCCCTGACAGTCGCTGACTCTCCCCTCTTCCCCATGTGGAGCCCAGACTTTGCAATACTCTGTCTTCAGCCACTTGATTCAGTCTCTGCATTGTTCTACTCTGCGGTCACTCCTCTGCACTGCCAGTCACTTGGCTATAGCTTTGTAGACATGACCATTTCTTTTGCTCTTGCTGACATCAACCATTTCATTCACCTTTCACCAGAGGTTAACCAGAGTTTCTGGCCAGCTGTGTTCCTCTGGCAAGCCAGAAGTGCACTTGACACAGGACAACTTCTTACTTCTGGCCATAGCTAATACATGTGAGCATTTACTGTTTCCAGCTGAGCAGTCTGTGTGGTAATGTGAGGTTAAATGCTAAGCAGCTGCATTTGAACCAGAAGGTTGCTTCCTGTTCCTGGGAAATGAGTGTGAAGTTTTGGAACGGAAGGGCTGGGAAACATGTTCCCATGGGATTGTGGGATAGAGTGGGCAGACTCTGAGCTATGTCCACACTGCAAAATGTGTGACCCACTTGCCTAGCAGGGACCATGGGGATGAGTCCAGAGGGGTTCTTGCCCCAAGTCACACTCATTTCTGTATGGACAAAAGGGGAGCTTGGGCTTAAACCCGAGTCTGAAACCAGTCTTAGTGCGATGGGTAGACACCCCTTCCCCCCACCCAATGCGGTCACAGAGCCCAAGCTCCAACACAAGCCCAAATGTCTACACTGCAGTTTTATAGCTCTGCAGCCTGAACCACACAAGACTGAGGCAGCTGACAGGCCAGCCAAGGGAGTTTTATTGCAGTGTAGACATACTCTCAGAGCCCCTTTATGCTAACTGGCAAAGGGTGCACCCAACACACTGTCTTTAGATTATTTAGCCAAACAGTGTCTTGTAAGGTATACAAAAACTGGTGACATGCTGGTTATTAATATTATTATGTACGGTTAGTTTGTAAAGCAATATGTATGTGTGCAGGAAGTATGTTCCTAAAATATGTTCAGCCCAAGCATTCCAAGGAAAGCAAATAAACAGTCATAAGCAAAGGAATGTTGTTTCACCCATTTGCCTGTGTCTCCAATGTAAATTGAGCAAGGTGAGACCAGAGACATTGGAAATACATTTACATGTAAGGTAAAAACTGTGATTAAGCCAATCGAAAAAGCAAATTGACCAGAGGATGAGGAAGACAGCATGGCATTTACCAGCAGGGGAGAGAAACTTTGTCTGGATTTACTTTGTAAAGAATACAGTTCAAAGGTTTACTGGACTATAAAAGGAAGGGGAACGAACCGCTTAATTATCCAAAGGGGACAACCCCCTCTGACTCTGTTAGAGTTGGATCCTGAAGGGCTGGAGATGCTGCAAACTTGATGTAAGTGAGAAAACTTCTTAGGCAAAGATTGCAACTTGCTAAAATTGAGTTTTAGTCACACTAAACAGATTGTTTTGTGTTGGCACCATACCGGTTTCTTTTTCTCTCACTTAGTATCACTTAAATCTCTGTTCTTTATTACTAAACTTAAACTTAGTGTTACTATAAACCATCTCAGTGCTGTTATATTGAGTTAAAGTGTGAGTCTTCAGTTAAACTGAGAGACTGGTGTGCTCACTGTCTCTTTGGAGGCAGCAAACAATCATTTCTGTGAGTGTCCAGTGTGAGGGACTGGACACTGCAGAGAGATGTTTCTGAGGGGGAAACAGGTTCACTGACTGTTACCTGCAAGGCAAGGTTAAGACTAGCAGAGTCTCTCCAAGTTTGCGGGTGAGGCGGACAGGGAGCTGATACACAGTCCAAGCCCCAGCAAAGCATACGCCTTGCTGAGGCAGAGGGGTAAAACAGTGACTCACTGTTCTGGCTGTCCTGAGGAAAGAGTCACAGCTGGTGTTATACTTATTGATGCCACAGTGATTATATTAGAGAGCGAGACAGGAAAATCAAAAAAGCAGGAAACCTATTTCTTTGAAATGTAACAGAAGGTCATCAGCTAATCATATGAAGGGAATGATCTCAAAATTAAAAGTCATTTTGAACTTTATGTTAATGAACTATGAAGGGGAGGGCTATTCAGAAAACACTTGCAGTGTGAAGACTGATTATCTCGGCAATGAGGGGAAACTGAGGCGGTGCATCAAAACTGAGGCAGTCGATGGATTTGAAGCCAGACAAGGTAAGTTCCTGCTTCAGGGACCAACAGAATGCTTGTTATCTTATGGCCAGGAGGATGTTTTAAATTCAAACTACAGTCTGGCAGTAAATCACTCTTTTCTTCTACACAAAATAAGACAGAGGAGCCAACTTATGGATAATGAACAGGAAGAATTGAAGCTGGGCATGCATAGAAAAGGCTGGTTGTGGGGAAGGTGGGGTTGGTTTTTTGTTTTTTGCATCTAGCAGCTGAAAGAAATTAGAAGCAAAGGCAGAATTTGGAACCATACAGAAAATCTATCTTGACTCACTTTCAGCTTTGGGAAAAAAACACTTCAGATTTCCACCCAGTGTAATCAGACACCTGCCTATGTATGGAACACCCTCCCCTCCTCCTGTGCAGACGCAAAGCCATTATATCGGTGATATTATTCACACATCTGTCATGTCAGGGAGCCGGGCAGTTACCTTAGTAAGTGGGTAATTACAGGAGTAAACAGCTTTATTGCTGTATACACTGCTGCTGTTTCACTGCAGCAGTGTATACAGTACAGTGTATGGGATGAGGATGGGGAGAACACCTGGCCAGGTAAGTGCTTGCCATGTCTCTCTTTTTCGGGGGTGGTGGTGGTGTTCATGATTTCATATGAAGCTTGATGTGTGAAGTTTCCTAACTCAGTGTTTAAGTACAATTACTCTAGTCCAGGCAGTCATGGGCAATTCTGGGACTTTATAGTTAACTACTGCAAAAGGTATCCACAGTTTATAGTTCTTAGCACAAGAAATGAAGTAAAGAAGCGACACTATCATCAAAGCAACACTTTCTTTTTTCTGTTTAGAAATACAGATTTTTACAACTCATTTTAGAATCTCTTCCTTGCAGTCCTGATACAGTATGGCAGGTGGTGGTAAAGTAATGGAAATAGAGCACAGTCCACAAAATATACAAGAAATGGGCAGGGGGGGAGGAGGAGGAAGGGAATTGTTTCAGTCTTTAATATTATACATTTAACACAAGTAGATCATTTCTCATGGTAAGAACTGAGGTTTAATTTGATTTTTAGAGCCAGATTTTTGCATAATAGTATCCATTTCTGTGAGCATTGAATAATTGTGGATTCATTTTGTCCTTGCAATTGTGTGCTTCAAATCAAGGCTTCTAGATGACTAAGTGAATCAAATGTTGAACAAATTATGGCTGACTGAATATTTGATACGTAGTCCATCTGGCCAGAATGTGATGTCTGTACTCATGAGGAACAATAATTTACACCAAAGGTACTCCCTTTGAAATCAGTGTGGCTAGTTGTGGATTAACATACTTCCCAATGTGCGGAAGGGAATACAGTGGAATAAGAGGAGAATAAATTAGCAAATCTCTTTTCAGGAGTCTAGTGAAAAGTCCATTCCAGAGGTCCTGGTCCCTCACTAATTTCTCTGGGACTTGTCTCTTGTTGATGTGAGAGAGGATAAAATACAAGTTGGGGATTGCAGATAGCTTGAGTCCCCAGGGATTCTTCGCTAAAAGACATAGTCACAGCAAGGGGAACAAAAGACCATATAGAATGACACTTGTTGATGAACCAGAACTTCTAGCTCTCAAGTCTTCCTGGTGACTTGAGTGTACACCAGTGGATGATTACTTTATTAAGTATATTTTCACTCCTTTTCTCTTCATTAACTGTCTGCTCACAGTTTTCTCAAATCTATTTGCTATTCAAAATTGTAATTTCTGTGAGTGCATTTTGGTCCATAGCTCCTTTCACAAGAAGATAGTTCATTATGGATCTCTAGTATATGAAATTCAAGCTTTGTTGACTAGTTTTCACTTGGCATATAGGTTACACTGCATGTTTTTGGCCCCTGATTGGTTGAACATAATTTCTAGAAACAGGTTTTGGTGCAGATAGTCACAGCTACAAACTAAAAATGTGTTTACAACAATTATGCTCCAATATTTGCTTAAAATTTGCTATTTCTGGGAACACTCCCACCAGCAGACTAGTTTGCTTGGAAGTTCACAGAAAGCAAACACAACATGGATATGAATTCAGTGAAATGAATAATAACGTATACTTTTCACTTTGGCCCCGCTTTCGCAATGAAGAGTCAGAAAAGCTAGTCTTCTAGTTTGCACTGTCTTAAATCAGGATTAAGTCCACTGAAGTCAGTGGAGTTACATCAGTGTACATGACAGATGAATCAGCCCTGGAGTTACTATTATGGGCCTTGATCTAAAGCGTATAGAAGTCAGTGGCAGTCTCTATTGATTTCAGTGGGCTATGGATCTAGGGTGACCAGATGTCCCGATTTTATAGGGACAGCCCCGATATTTGGGACTTTTTCTTATATAGGTACCTATTACCCTCCACCCTGTCCCGATTTTTCACATTTGCTATCTGACCACCCTACATGGATCAGAACGATATGATTTATTTGTCATGACAAGACCAGTGAGCGAAGGCTCAGACATCTCATCTTGGATATGATGGGAGGTGGACAGACTTTATTAAGTAGGTAATGTTGAGCTTAAGTGAAACCAGTTTGCTTTGTATTTGGACAGAAAGCAGAGGCAGACTTCTGTGGAAATGCTGGCACCATCCTAGGCACCATCCAGAGGACTCTCATCCCAGGGACCTTCCTCTTTATCCTGGCTGTGGGACTAACTTTGAACATGCCCGTCATCTGGATCCTCGTGTTCCGGGTGAAACGCTGGAACAGGAGCACTATTTTCCTTTGTAACTTAGTTTTGGCTGACATCACTTGGATCTTAACCCTCCCCTTTCTGATCTACTACCATCTGAATCAGCTGCATTGGATCTTTGGAGATGCTCTTTGTAAGATTACCAGGACAATTTACCATGTTTGCTATTATTGCAGCATCTACTTTGTCACTTGTCTGAGTGTGGATCGCTATTTGGCTATAGTGCATCCGCTAAAGTCTCTGTGGTTGTTAAATAAACAACAGTCACTACTGATTTCCCTCTCCATATGGGCAGTAACTAGCTTGGCCAGTGTGCCAGTCCCCTTTGTTGCCAGCACCCAGATATGCCCAGACAACAAAACTATTTGCTCTCTTTATGTATTTTCCAGCTCCACCTATATAACGCTTCCCTTTTCCATGTGCTGCACGGTGGTTGGCTGCTTGCTGCCTTTCATTGCTATCTGTTACTGTTACTGCAGCAGTGTCAGGACACTGCAAAAGACTGGCCTTCATCACTTTCAGAAAAGGGATAAGCTCACCAAGCTCATGTACTCTGTTCTGATAATTTTTGCACTCCTTTATTTCCCTTACCACCTGTCAAGAAACACCTGCATCTTCTTAAGAGCATTGTGGCCCAATGGCAATAGGTCCATTGAGAATGCAGACACCGTGTTCTTTGTAGAGGTAGCAGTGTGTAGCCTTAATACTTGCATCAACCCTCTCTTCTGTTTCCTGGCAGGAGGGGATTTTCGAGACCAGGTTTGCAAAATAGCCTCCTCTTATTGTCACACCAAAACCTGGAGGAGTCAACAGCAAAGGACATCTGTGTACCCAGTATAACTCCATTCCCTCACAAAACTAATTTTGTCAAGCTGAAAATTATGGGAAAAATTTTAGCCCAATTGAAGTCAACAGCAAAACTCCATTGACTTCAGTTGTCAGGAGTTCACTGTTTATATAGTACCTTGGAGATGCTTTGATCTCTCAGATTTGTAAGAACCATTAACTTGGGAAATTTAATTCTGGAGATGTGGGAGATGGTTATAAGCAATAAAATTATTCAGGAAGTCCCAGAGCCTAAAATTTGTGTGAATCCTGGTTCCATTTTATTCAAAACACCAAAAATTAAGGAGGTAGTGAACAGAGCTGGCTGGAAAATGAACTTAATGTCACAAAAAGTATTACTATTTCAAAAGGTTCAAAACGGATCCTTTTTTGGTCAAAATTGAAAATGTTAACAAAATGCTTACTAGCATTTTTCACTTACCAGAGCCCCCATTCTGATGAACAAATACGTTTGTTTATTGAATCTTGTTTTCAATTTTGATATAATTGCAATAAAATTTTCAATACTTTTGATTTTTTCAAAAATATTTTAAAAATGTAATTTTTAAATGAAAACAAAATTGTATGTTGACCATTTTTCATAAATTTTGTTTTGAGAACAGCCCATCTTGCTACAAAAACTTTTCACTCAAAAAATAAAATACCTTGGGTATAAGAAAATGTCTGCTTCTGGCAATGATTTCAAAGGTTAAGGGGGAGAGATGCTTGCATTATTTTTGCTCATCTTAGAAAGTAGACAGGTTTCAGAGTGGTAGCCATGTTAGTCTGTATCAGCAAAAACAACGAGTCCTTGTGGCACCTTAGAGACTAATAAATTTATTTGGGCATAAGCTTTCGTGGGCTAAAACCCACTTCATCAGATGCATGGAGTGAAAAATACAGTAGGCAGGTATATATATTACAGCACATGAAAAGATGGGAGTTGCCTTACCAAGTGGGGGGTCACTGCTAACGAGCCAATTCAATTAAGGTGGAAGTGGGCTATTCTCAACAGTTGACAAGAAGGGGTGAATACCAAGGGAGGGAAAATTACTTTTGTAGTGCTAATGATGCCAATGCAATCAAGATGGCCTATTTCCAACAGTCAACTTTCTTGATCCGCCACCAATTCTACCTCATGAGTAATCTACAATTTCTCCATTCTGGTTGCATTGCAGCTACCTGGATTTACTCCTTGTGCAGATTCTCCTTTTGCTATAAGGCCAACAGAAAAATCAGTAGATTATGATAATACCTTTTGAAGCTTATTCATACCAAACATATTGTGCTGGATAACCAGTCATAGGCCAGCTCATTTCTCTAAAAGAACATATACTGAAACATTGGGAGATACCAGGTGCTTGGATGCAATCAGGAACCGAAAAGCTTAGTTTACACTATCTTTCCTCCTCATCCACAGAATGGGCTTGATTCTGATCTTCCTTACACTGACAGAACTCAAAGGAATTACACCAGAATGAAACTTTTGGAAGTGAGATCAAAATCAGGCCCAGGTGTTTAGCAATCCTTATCAGCCACTCATTAACCATTTTCATTTTAAAATGTTTATTAGTTGCTTTACATCTTTCCATAACCCTTTATGAAACAGCAAAGGATTCATTAAGAAAAGGTCTTGGAGGAGAGGGTGAAAGAGGCTAAATTCTCAGATAATGGAATCCTTAACTAAATGAGACACATTCATTAAGAATGAATAAAGCCTCATTTTCAGAAGCACTGAACACCCAGAACTCCCACTGATTTCAGTGGGAGCTCAGCACTTCTGAAAAATCAGGCCACAAAACTAACTAGAGACAACTTTTGCTTATAGAGTGGCATTCACCCACATGCAGGGTGCCCATACCTGGACTTTTGCACCACTTTGCTCCTTTACAGGGAAGTGGAGCATGGATAAAATGGCCATTCCTGGTGGCTCCTATTCCAATATGTGCCAAGGAGGGGTTTCATGCTGGCATTCAGATAGCTTAATGGGAGCAGACAGGGAACTAGAGAGTGGATCAGCACTTGTGAAGATCCAGAACCCAGGCCTAAGGGCTAGTGAGAATCTGCTTTCAGCCCCACAGACTGTCCATAGGTTGGGAAAGGATTTCCAGCCCTTGCATCCCTGAGGCATTCCCTGCATAAGCACTAATGCTCTCTAAGGGTATGTCTACACTACCCGCCCGATTGTCGGGCAGCGATTGATCCAACGGAGATCGATTTATCGCATCTAATCTAGACACGATAAATCGACCCCCGAGCGCTCTCCCATCGACTCCTGTAATCCAGCGCTGTGAGAGGCGCAGGCAGAGTCAACGGGGGGAGCGGCAGCAGTCAACTAACCGTGGTGAAGACACCACGGTAAGTCAATCTAAGTACGTCAACTTCAGCTACGTTATTCACGTAGCTGAAGTTGCGTAACTTAGATTGATCCCCTCCCCCCCCCGCCCTCCCCGCCCCCCCGCAGTGTAGACCAGGGCTAAGAAGATTCCATTACATTTAAGGCAGTACTTAGCTTCCTGTAGTTGAGTCCCAACAGAGAAATTTGCAGACTTTCCTATAATTCCCTCCCTTCGGTGCCCCACCAAATCCTACTATTTTTCTCTCAGTTGACACACACTCCCATTACCATTCAGGATTTATGACTTACTCACCATGCTTCTAGTCAAGGAGGACTGATGGGGGCTCTCTGTTAATACTGCTTCTTAACTTCCCGGAGGTGGGGTGGCTTTTGAATAACAGGCAATTGATTTATTAAGCTTTTTGGAAAAGAACAGTCAAGGCACAGTGTATGTGTGAAGTTAAGTTGCCCATGCAGTCTGAGACAGACTGCCGTGCTTGAGACCTTAGGTGTAATGCTAACCAGATGTGAAGGTACTTCTGGATGATTTATGATGCATACTGATGATGAGGCATGCACCATGCAGAGGGTGATTAATATTCTTGTCATAAATCATAAAAAGTAGGCATCATGCTATGAAAATCTGTGGAAGCAAAGAAACCAACTCAGTTTAGAGGGTGACATAATATTAGACTGGCTGGACTCATGGATTCAATAGAGATCTTTAGCAAGATAAATTGCCTCCAGGGAATGCTGTTTCCATGAACTACAGGTGCCTTCCAGTAGAACAGAGTGTGAAGGTGAACACAACCATGCAAACAGAAAGGTTTTTTAGAAAGTATTTGCATCCCAGAAATTCAGTCTAGGAGTTTGTGTCTAATGAAGAACTTTCAAATTAGTGCTAATAAGAAGTCAAAACTTTATTATTGGCCTGATTCAAAACTCACTGAAGTCAATGGGAGCCTTTGCAATTAATTCAATGGGCTTTGGATTGGGCCCTTAGAAAGAAGCCGACAACCAAAAGTCATGAATATCTGACAACATGCTCAGTGTGAAAGGAACTGGTGGTCTCCAATTCTTAGTAGACAAGTGCTGTGTCACAATTGTCTCTAATTGATACCAATATTGGGAGGCTGAACAAAGAAAATCAACCTTCTCCTGGTGGCATCTGACTCAGATAATGAAAATGAACATACATTGGTCCACACTACCTTGGATTGTTAAAGAGCAGAATCCATAATCAGCATGGGTGCATGTCCCCTGGAATGGTGGTCGAAGCATGAAGGGACATATCTATCTTTAGTGCATCTGGCACATAAATATCTTGCAACGCTAGCTACAACAGTGCCATGAGATTGCCTGTTCTCACTTTCAGATAACATTGTAAACGAGAAGTGGGCAGCATTATCTGCAAATATAAACAAACTTGTTTGTCTGAGTGATTGGCTGAACAAGAAGTAGGACTGAGTGGCCTTGCAGGCTCTAAAATTTTACATTGTTTGATTTTTGAATGCAGGTGTTTTTTTTTTTTTACACAATTCTACATTTTTAAGTTCAACTTTCATGATAATGAGATTGCACTACAGTACTTGTATTAGGTGAATTGAAAAATATTATTTCTTTTTTTTTATAGTGCAAATACTTGTAATCAAAAATAAATATTAAGTGAGCACTGTACACTTTGTATTCTGTGTTGTAATTGAAATAAATATATTTGAAAATGTAGAAAAATATCCAAAATATGTAATAAATTTCAATTGGTATTCTGTTGTTTAACAGTGCAATTAAAACGTGATTAATTTTTTAAATTGCGATGTTTTGAGTTAATTGTGTGAGTTAACTGCAATTAATCAACAGCTCTAGTTCCTTGCCCTGAAGAGCTTTCATTCTCCACCAGACTTGGTAATTTTATACTGCAGGTTTTCTATAGCCTGGGATATAAGCACGTGGAGCCTGGTCCCGCATTACTGGAGTCAATGGGAGTAGGACCAGGACCATGCTCTTGAAGAGGTCAGTAAGGTGCACGGCCATAGGTTTCCTGAAAGGAGCATACATTGCTCTGTGATACACCAAATCCATCCCATATCAAGCATGGGGAATGGTACTTTCCTTCCAATTTGGCCTAGTTGGTCATCTAATTGCACATACCCAATTGCATTTGAAGCCACAGCTTCCTCTAACAAAGCCAAATAGCTCTTCCAGGCCATAGCGGGTCCTTTTCCAACATATAACAAGAATGTTTGTGTATAAAAGGTGTAAAATTAGCCATCATATGATTAAATGAAATGAGATGAACCACATCCCCAGCCTCAGGTTAGTCTGTTCCCCAGAGACATTTGGAAATAAACTCTGTGTTCAGGAGAAGCCAATGTTTCCAGTTACACAAGATCACTTCAGGATCACAGATCTTTCAAAAGCAATGGAAAACAGGAGGGTGCAGTGTTTCAGTCTCAAACTAACAAGTGTCTTACACCCCTGATCCCTTGTTCCCTTGAACACAGCACTGTCGTCAGCATGCTCATTAGCAGTGTCCTAAAATAAAGCAGAGGTTTTCCTGCCACTTTTAATGATGTACTGTTTAAATGTTCCCAGAGGGAAAACTGAGAAACACCTTAGGTATTCAACAAAGCTGCGGCAATACAGTCATTCTGTTGCACAGGTTCCCTCAGAACCTTTTAAAAGCTTCAGCTCTCTTTTATGTCTTGTGGTAAGAAAAAGGACATTTATTCTCATGTTTGCCTTGAAAAATATGGACTCTTTCCCCAACGAAAATATCTACCACCATTTACCGCTTTAAATATTTATTGTGAAAAAAAGCCAAAATCTTTGTTGCTGATAGAATCGTGTTTCAAAAGATAACAGAATATCAAAGAGAGCTTCTAATGTCAACAAGACCACAGACAAATAACAACTAGAGCTGATTGGGTATTTTTTGTATTATTGTGATAATGAGAAAAATGAAATAGTGCTTTCTTGCAAAGTTTCTTACAAAACCAGTCTAAGATGGCAAAAATCTTGTAATGGCTCTTACTTTCTGAGGAAAATTTCTGTGTCTGTTCAAAAAGAATAGTTACATAACAGATAGGAATGACTCATTGGGGCTCAAAGTTGCTCATTAACATAGCGCAGGTATCCTGATTTTCTAAAAACCTTTAGTTGAGCATCTCCATAGATAAGAAAAACTCTCCAGAATGGGGTAGCCTATTGTGGGGACTTTATTATGCTTAAGAGGTATTTTTAGAACTGGAGGGCCAAGGGGTCAAGGACCCAAAAATGGCCTTTAAAATAATTTAAAAGCAACAAAAGGAAGTTGACACTGTGCTTCTAGAGGGGCTGGGACTGATCCTTATTTACACAAAGACCCTTTTACACAGCTCTGGCAATGTGAAGGGACACTAAAGTAGCATAAATTATATGTACATTCAC